GTGATAAAGGTAAGAAAATAATATGTCTACGTGAAACAAATTATGTGAATTGTGAAAGCTCATGTTATGTAGATGAGAACTATAGGTATAGTTGGCATGCCAAGGGTAGAGGGTCTACGCGGTCCTTCGGGATATATATATATTCTTTGGAATATGTGTGAAGTCTTGTGAGACACATACTTGATCCCTAGTATATGTATATGATTCTTAAGGAATGATATGTGGTCCTTATGGACATTATTATATGGCACTACGGTGTAATTCTATGCGGCACTCTGGTGTAATTCTACGTGGCACTTCGGTGCAATTATTATAGCTGTGGTGACAACATAGTGCACAACCTCACAATACTCACATACCTTAGGTTCTCAATATGGTATCATGGGCTAATGAACTCAATAATGTGAACCTATGAATGTGAATTTGATAAATCTATGTGTAAGAAACATGGTTATGGTTATTGCATTGTTTACATACATATTATCATTGTAACCCATCTCATTTTGGCAATTCCTTTATATTTTATTGTTATTATTATATTGTCTCACTAAGTCGATGACTTAGCGTGTGAGTGTTTCACACGTAGAATCCGATAAAGTAGACGATCGAGGTTAAGCAGCTGGACAACATTACTCCTGCAACTATCAGATCAGAAGCAACTTAATCAGTAGGTCATTTTGTTATGTAAATGGATGTTGGCATGTAACTAAAGGGTTAAGTTGTGTATGCTCTGAGTATTTTGGTAAATGTGTATTAATATATGTATATTATCGTATTTTCTTAATATAAGTTCAAATGTTGTGATTTTGTAAGAAATGTGTTTTAAAAAGGTAATGTGATACCTCGGACTAGTATCCGGGTCGGATACGGGTTGAGGGTGTTACATTTAATGGTATCACACCTCAGACTAGTATCCGAGTCAGATACGGGTTGGGGGTGTTACATGTAACCTGGCAGGCTAGGAATGTAACCCTGAGGGCTAGGAATATAACCCTGCGGAGATGACATATAAACTGGTGGGCTTGGCATATACCCCTGAGGAGATGGCATCTGAACTAGAGGGATGGGCATCATCATCGGTGGATAAGGATGTTGTGGTGGGACTGATGCAGAATCGATAGCGTCTTCTCTCCATCCACGAGTCGGGGGACGATGATATTGAGACGGTGGACGTCTCTATCGGTGCCTTGGAATGTTAACCCCTTGTGCTTCCGTCGAAAGTAGAAATGACTTTCCATTTTTCATTAAACCATTCCATATAGTTATCCGTAACCATTTGACCAGTTTCAGCGTAAAATTGTCGAGGTGCCAACTGTGCATACCGATTCTCCCAAAGCGCAATCCAATCTCTGTGTCTCATCACCCAGTTAACTTTTTTCTTTCCTCGTCTATCTATATTATACATGTCGTCTAAATTCAAGGTGCTCCAGGAATATATTGCGTACAACCAAATTGACAGAGCACACGATCAACTGGATGCCACTCAATAATAACATAACATATAAGAGGTACAATTGACATCCAAACCTCTAATGACCCACTCAGGTGGGGTGGGATGCAAGCCTTTACTTCATCGCTCGCATAAGGTATCCACTGAAACTTAAATATAAATATACAATTCAAATAAATATAATATTCTAATTATATATAACATTTTAAATTAAAATATTTATATTTAAACAAATTTCAAAACATACCTCGGACCCAACTTTTGTATCAATAAGTAAATGGATTTCCTCTAGTCCAGTAGGTATATCTCTATGGTTCTTTCTTTTCATCGACCACCTATGAAATATAATATAAACTAAATATCACCCTATTTAATTAAAAATATTTAAATCAAAATTTAGTTCAAAAATTACCTCAATAATAAGGGGAATACGCATGGTTCATTGACAATCGGGCATAAGAAAGGCATACGGAACCACGCCCATTATTGCAGAAGCAAGAGACATCCACCGATAGCAGTTTTCTTATAATTTGTCGCACGACACATTTCTCTAAAGAGAAATGCCAAAATTGCAGCGCCCCAACTATATCTTCCAGCTTCATTAAAATCAATCAGATGCCGCAACTACATACAATGCACCTGATTGCGAGATTTGTTGGGCATCAATATTCCTCCAATGATTCGTAGAATATAAGCTCGAGCACATGCCTTTACTTCATCATCTGAAGCATTTTCATTCAGAACTTCAAAATTAGCTTTCAACCATGATAAAGCTATTTTACATCCATTAAACTCTGGCGGAGCAGCTCCAAGATACTCCATGCACATTGACTGACAATCACCATCTGTCATACCACACATAATATTCCCATCGACGGAAAGCCCCAGATGCATAAAGACATCCTTCAATGTAATTATAGTCTCTCCACATGGAAGATGAAATGTGTGTGTCTCGGGCCTCTACCTCTCAATCAATGCAGAAATTAAGACAGGTTCGAGTTTGCAACCGCCAATAATTGTTGCAATATACCTGAACCCAACATAAGACAAATATGAAAAAATACATTGTGGTGTCGGTATATGTGGGTTTTTTATAAATGTCTCTGAAATACGACTAGTTTCCTAAATAATATGCATTATAAAAATTTATAATTAATATAAATTTATGATAAATTTAAATTAAAAATAAAGAATAAATATTAACATTAATTATAAAAAAATATTACCATATCACTAAAATGTCTGGAGATATGGTTTGCATCCAATCGCAGCAGCATTTCACTTTCCATTATAACTGTAGACAAAAAAATATAATTAGCAAAAAAAATAATTAATTAATAAATTTAAATAAATAATAATTATATAAATATTATTTTAATAAAAAATAATATTTATATAATTATATTACTATAAAATATAAAAACTATTTAAAAAAATACTAACTTAAAAATAATTTTTGTTACCACTAATAAGAAATTTAAAACTCAAATAGTTGGAGAATTTGAGTTATATAAGAGAGGAGAATATGATTTTGGTGTGAAGAATGAGTGGGTTGAGGGAGTTTATATAGGAGATGAAGAGGTGTAGTTTGGGGGGGGGGGAACGGATGGGCAATTATGACATTTAATGAAATGTGCGTCCCCGGGGATGCGCCTTACCCCCGTGGCATCTGACTCAGTAGAACCCCGTGAAAGCGCGTCCCCAGGGATGCGCCTTTGTGCCACCTCAGCCGAAAGGGTGTTACTTCAGAAAATATTGATCAAAGGGTGTTAGAAAGGGATATATTCAGCGTAAAAGTGTCAGTTTAGTCAAATCGCCAAATATTCCCTGCCTGGGCAGTGTCGTCGGTTCTATTTACATAAAAACAATTTGAGTTAATCTATTAAGTAGATATCAATAGGTGTCCACATGTGTACCGTCTCGAGTTTTGTTGCTATTTCTAAAATATTATTTTTGTACACATTATATATAATATAGGTAAATAAAATTTGATTCAATTAAAAAAAATTGATTTTATTTTATTTGATTTGTATATATTTAATTTAATTTAAACATTTTTAATAAAGTTTGAATGATAAGTTATAATTCAACTTAATTAACTTGATTAATTCAAATACTTATATCTAATTTCTCATGTCTACAATTCCTCCATCATTAAATATAATTTTTAATCTAATTTGAGCCACGTGCTCTTTTAACACTATGTAGCTACAATTTTTATTTTTAACTATAAATTTATTATTTTTACAATATAGTCTCTTAACATTACATTTTATTCAATTTGATATTTTATTATAATTTTTATAATCTTAGATAACATTTGATTTATTAAATAACATTATAATATGAAAAATATGATTATATATATATTTATAATGGTTAGAGAAACTCGATAAATTTGACAAATTCATACAATAACATTATAAATATTTATTATTGAATTTAAACAGAAACTCAAAAAATCAACTTGAATTACATAAACAACTCCACTCAAAAAAAATTAAATAAAGTTTGAATATTAAAATAAGACTTGTCAATTAGACTAACTAAATTTTTTTTACTCAAATTGATTCAACTCAATTGAATACTCACCCAAATATATAATACAAATATATCTTAATTGTATACATACAATATATTTGTATCAAAATATAAATCTTAAATCTATTAATTAAATATGATAATTTAATTTAATTAATATATTTTATTTTAAAATATAATTATACAACAAATAAAAATAGATAAGATAAAAATTTGTTTAAAATATTAAAATTTTCAAGCATAATTTACAATCGATAATCTTCAATAATATTTTATTCAAGAGTTTTAAAAAAGTAATTAAATTTAAGGTTTATATATTTTATTTTTAAAAAAACAATTATACAAAAAATAAAAACAGATAATTTAAAAATAGTTTAAAATATTAAAATTTTGGTAAATTACGAGTTTCATTTTTTGTGTTCAATTATATGACCTAACAAGTTTAATTATTATTTTCACTTGTATAATAATACTATTTTTTAATTCACAAACTTATGAATAAATCTTGAATAAAATATTTTTGAAGATTATCAATTGTAAATTATGACCCAACAAATTTGATTTCTTTATCTATGTCTTAAAATTCTTTAATTTTAAATATATAGAGATAAAAATTACATTTGCATGAAATAAAAATATAATAAATAAAAAATATTATGTACACGTATTCAGTGTGGAAGGATAATTAAATGAAGTAAAGTAAGTGGAACTCTTTTATTTCCATTTTTCTTTCGATAAAATAAACTCGAAATACAAATAGGCTATCTGTATGAACCCTCTTGAGAATGCATGCAAGTCTAAACAAAAAATAATCCCCTAAAACCCACCATGGAAGCCTTCAGAATTCTGTCAACAACGTAGGACGGGGCTTATTGCAAATGCACCGTCAAACTAAAACCTAAACCCACTAAAATACCCAACTCTGCAGCTTTTTTTCCTAATAAAAAAAGGGATAAAATGAGGCAAAGAAAGAAGTAATCATCTATAAATAAAAAAATGGAACTAACTGGATTGACTATGTACGGAAGAAAGAAAACTCAAGCTTCGGACCCGGAGTCGGATGAGCTTGATTCAGAAGAAGCTCCATCCAAATTATTTGCAACTGACTGCGATACAATTGGTTGCATGCCACGGAATAGTTTCAGAGATGGCTTCAGTTTCATGTACTGTAAGATCAAATCAATAAGCAAAGTAAGCAAATAGCATGTAAACAATGAGAAAGATGCTAAGCTAAGCAACCATGGGACCAGATTGCTAATAAAGCATAACAAAATGCAATAAACATTTACAGCATCATGGGCTAAAAAGACCTATAATTTCTTGTATATTTCAGTTTCATTTGAAACTTAAATTAGGAAACAATTTGTAGAACGTGTTCAAAGAAATTTATTGAATAACTCTGTTATATCAGACTAAAAACACCACAAAAAGACAGGGAAGATATCTCTTACCTTCTGATAAAAAGCATTGATCTCATCTTCCGTAAGGCTCTCATCCTCACCAGTGCCTTCTTCCCACCCAAGAGAACGAAGGAATGCAGCCTCTTCCTCATCGGGATAAGGCATATCAACGGGGCTCATATCCTTTTTCTTGTCACCAGAACAAATGTCACCATTACTAGCTGTTGCAGTACCATCATTAGCATAAGCAGTCGCAGAAACACCAATTACTTCCTTCCCAACTTCAGATTTCTCTATAACGGATGATGAAATTTGAGAATCTGAATCTGAGAGACCACAATAGTTTGTTGAGTTCTTCTTCTTCAGGAGATTAAAAAAATCATTTCGGCTCTGGGTTTGAGCCAAAGAAACTTTCTTTTCCACAGTGAACACAGCTATTGGACTAATGGCAGCTGCCTTGCATTCCCCAGCAGAAAGCTTCAGGACTTTTGAGTTTCTTGTAGAAGCAGAATTAACAGGAACAACAGCATGTTGACTAATTGTAACTCTGTTGTTCGCAATTTTTGTTGAACTAGCAGTATCTTTTTGAGTAGGGGATGAGACCCCATTATCCCTTCCAGGTTTGAGAACCAAAAGCTTCCCGGATATCTTTGGCATATCAGACTTGACATGTCCATTGTGAGGAGAGTGATTACCTTGATGAATCAAAGGCGAAGGCTGTGATCCACTCTTGACAGCTATATTCATCTCGCTTATTCTGGTTGTAGGTTTGGCTTTTGATTTATCAGTTAAATTTAAAACCTGAGACAAGAGAATTGCGTTAATCATGAAGTACAAGAAGGAAAATAAAGGGAGGGCAAAATTATTCAATAGGACTAAAACAAACTGGCTTACAGAAACCTTAGGCATCGAAGGTGTCACTGGGATTAGTTGCCTTGATTGCTTAATAGCCAGTTCCTCACGCCTTCGAGTCGTGACAGATACCTAAATAAAATAGAAATGCCTAGTTAGCCACAGATATAAGTTATGCATGTAATAAGAACTTAGTGACTAAGCCAGTTACCAGGGGAGCAGCAGGGGTTCGTGAAGGAGCTTGTGCTAGTGCTTCAGCCATATTAAGACCACATGGGACACTTGGAGCCCCAGAACTTGTGGTGGAAGCAGTTTGAGGGGCAGGCGAGGAACCTGTGCTACTACTTCTAACCACACTCGGCACTTCTGCCAAAGCTGAGGTCCATCCCTCTCCATCAATCAAAGCTGAATTACCAACAGAAGCACTTTGAGAAGCTGAGCGCAAAACAGGAGAAGAAACTCTAGCTATCTCAGGCACCCCTTGCCTCTCTTCACTTCCAAGTGAGGGAAAATCTTTCTCAAACTCAGCCTTGTGGATGCTACTCCCAATATTACCCCCAGAATGAAAACCATTGGTAATGTAATGGTTACTGTTACCATTATCTCCAGAGTCCACAGCAATCCTTCGAGGCAAAGCCCCACCTTGTTTCCTATACACCATAGAATGAGAACGCCGCAATGTATCTTTCTCGACCCTCCTAGTTAACATACTTTCTAAAGGGTCAAAAGAATCACAGTCCCAATGGTCCCCAAAGCTCATTCTCTCCTTGTCTCTTTCTCGATCCTTATCATGGTGATTCCTACTAAAGCTACTATAAGCATGTTTTCCAGAAACATTACTAAAACTCCTCCCTGAATTCAACGAATGTGTCCGATCCAAAAATGTTGAACGAGGGGAATCAAAATCGCTTGTTTTCCTAGAGTTCCTATGTCTCCAATGATTCACCAAAGAAGAAACATCTATCAAAAAAAGAACACAAATATTAAGCATTCTTACAATGAAAACTAAAAGAAAACAGTACGGATGCAATGAGAATCACAATGGCAAATAAAGGTGAAGTTAGACAGATTAGATAGAATAAAAAATGGATGAGTATTTAAAAGTTGGCCTGCCGAAAGGTACCTGAGATAGAAGAAGGGGAAGAAGCACCGTGATGGGCTGAATTACCACCCCCAGTAACAGTGCCATTACTCCTCAGCCATTCTGGAACTAATGTTCGTTTACTTTTTTCCATAAGGGAAGCTCAACAAGATCAACAGAAATCGAAAGAAAAAAGTTCTTCAACCTTCTTCAAATCTAAACCCACTAAATTATTATTATGATAAAAAGAAACAGAATTTTAACACTAGTGGGAAGCCTTGGCAACAAAGGCAATGTCAACGAGGAGATTATATTAGGACTAGAAGACGATCTGCAGATAGCTGATTTTCTAGTTTCGAATGATCCTCATATGTACCTATAAAATAAATAATAATAATAGTTAGCATCAATGAACTAGTTCAATGAGAGATAATAACCCTAAATAACCACAAATTTGAGCAAAATTAAAAACACTGGATTAAGTTTAATTGTGAGTATCCAACTGTCAGGGTTGTAAACAATAAACTTTGGAGACATTATAGATGAATGAAGAACAGATGAAACAAAAAAACAGAACCAAAACCTTAGTCCACGCAATAATTCCTCGCTCTTGCCTCAAAAAACGTAACTTTTTTCTAATAATAATAACCGTCCCAATCGAATGCGTTCCTTTTTCCGGGGAAAATTACGAAGAAGAAAAACAGCCTCTTCTTCTCGAAGAAAAGAAGAAGATAATATAGACGAAGAAAAGAGAGATAAAGACGAAAAAATAGGGTTTTGGAATTGAATTTAATTTCGATTTGCTTGAAGATAGAGAACGGAATGTATCAACAAGCAAAGAACAGGCTCTTCTTCTCTAATACAAATTTCGAATATATTTTGTTTTTTTATTTGAAAAAAATATCAATATATGGTTTGGTTTGTAGAATTTGCGTTTTTATTAATTACATCATTTATGTTGTGACTAAATTTTGAACTTGACTTTTCTATGACAAATTTCGGCTTATGTACGGTGTGCTACGTTTGCTAGTTTATCTGAGGTCGATCCACCACTCTATTTTCATTCTTTTTAAACACTATTAAGTATTTTATTATTATTTTTAAATGCTTCAAATTACTCTCCATTTAGATATATATCTAATTCGAGTTTAATTTTCTTTAAAAAAAAATTAACAATTCGAGTTAAATTTTAGTTGGACTCTTCGTTTAATCAAATAAAAAATAAAAAAGTTGCTCTTCGCATGAGTTTACTTGTTATATAATTTATTTTTCTATAATTATTTTATTCATATATCTTCATATTCGTATTATAAATTTATTCATAAAAATTATATTTCTTTCGATTATATTTATAAAAATATATTTTATATTATAAATATTTATTTATATAGATGTTCATTATAATTAGAACATTATGTATTAAAAAATATTTTTGTATACTTTATTATCGTGGCTTTAATATTTATTGGACTTAGAATTCTATATGATATTTACTTTTTGTGTTTATAGAAAAATATTATACATAATTTATATTGAGAAGATAATATAAATTTCTCTAGTTGTTCTTAAATATTGTACATAGTTCAAATCTTTATGTATGTAGAAAATCCTCCCTAGAAAGCTCACTCACTAAAATTAGGTATGCAACATGGGTCAATTCGGATTAATCAGGTATGTGCTGTTGAGAGGTTTTTTTTCCCTCTTCATTTCGATTCCAATTTTAATCTCATCGGAGTTGTCAGTCGTCATGTCAATGACTGTTGCCAATCTAAATTGAATCTGGCATTTTCTTTTGTTGCTTCCGATTCTTTCGACGGAATCATTAAATTTGTTGTTGTATTTCAGATCTAATATCTCACGCTTATTATTTCGTAGACCGTCATTTACCATTGTTGGCGTGTATTGCGGTTCGGTTTTAATCCTTATCGATCAGAACTATTTTTTTGTTTATTGAATCAGATCAGAGTTTCGCTCATTACTATGGTTTCCACTATCGTCGTTCGCTGTGTTTGGTTACTGTAGTGAGATCTCACTTTACTCGTTTGTGAAATCACATTTGGTGAATATGTGACTCATTGTTTTTTAATACATTCTTAGTTGCAAACAAAAAGAAAAAAAGAAAAAGAAAAGGGAAAATAACTACTAGTTCTAATGGTGACTTATCAGGGCCGGTTCTAAATTTTTCTTGGCCCGGGGCAAAATTAAAAAAATTAGGCTCTAATTTAAAAGAATATTAAAAAATATGCAATATAAAATTTTAATTAATTTTTTACTAAATTAAATAAATATTAATTCATTACAATATCAAAAATGCCAAAAACATATTTAAGTATATAAATACTTATAAAAAACATTGCCTTCGAACATTTCTTAATGCAAAAACATTGATGATAGTGTAAACATCAATGTTTTCCAACATATTTTTCTCAATATATAACATAGCTAGCTCATTCAATCTTTCTTGTGACATTGTTGACCTCAAGTAATTCTTCAATAATTTCAAGTTTGAAAAACTTCTTTTCGCGGATGCTACCATTACCGACATTGTTAATAAGATTCGATAAGCAATTGAAACATTAGGATAACAATCTCTAGCTTTAACAAACTCAATAACTTCAAGTGCTGACATGAATACATTTGGCAAAGTCAATTGCAACACTTTATTTTCAGAAGAAAAAAATCATCTGCATCAACATCCGACAAATTATTATGAGAAAAAATAATATTAAAATTATTACAACATTCTTTTAATAAGCCAATAAGAAATAAGTTTATGGGCCCTGCTTTTAATTTAGTTTATTAATATTTATGTGCCTGCTTTTAATTTAATATATTAATATAGTTTTTAACGTTATGATGAGAACAATAAGTCAATAAGAAATAAGTTTATGGGTCCTCTTGCATTAATATAAGAAAATAGTATATTAATATTTATGAGCTCTATTTTTAATTTAGTCTATTAAAATATAATAAATTAATATAAATTAAGATTATGGGCCCTGGGCGGGTGCCCCTCTTGCCCCTGCCCAGAGCTGACCCTGTGACTTATGATTTTGTGATGTTTGGTACAAGGTTGAATTCAAATGGGTGTTTACTTACTGTTCACGCATAGGTAATTGGTTATACAAGATTAAGCAGAAGGTTATGCAGTTTGATTTGTGAATATTGTTATCTTGTGCATGAGCGAGGTCAAGTGTGATTTCTACTGCTGGTATGATCTATGATGTTGGTATTGATTTATTGTTCTTCATATTTGGATTTTAGACATTTGAGTTCCAAGTTGGGTTACTGTTGGTAGATGTTGGAAAAAAAGAAAGGTGAATACAGTAGAACGAGAGGAAGCATACTTTCGAGTAGAACGGAAGAAAGCATCGCACTTTCGATTCTTGTCTAAAGTATAACGAAATGAAGCATCGCACTTTCAATTCAACTAGAATGAAAGGAGGCATAACACTTTCGATTCTCGTCTAAAGTAGAACGGAAGGAAGCATTGCACTTTCAATTCAAGTAGAATGAAAGGAGGCATAACACTTTCAATTTTCGTCTAAAGTATAATGGAAGGAAGCATCGTACTTTCAATTCAACTAGAATGAAAGGAGGCATAGCACTTTCGATTCTCGTCTAAAGTAGAACGGAAGGAAGCATTACACTTTCGATTTAAGTAGAACGAAAAGAGGCATAGCACTTTCGATTCTCGATGACAGAATGATGAATGAAGAGAAAGCATATTTCTTAATGGAGAACCAGCTCAAGTGCTATCTTTACTTCAAGCTATCTTTACTTCAAGAAGGTTGAAGAAGTAGGGTGAATATTAGAATATTAATAGAATTGGTTAATATTTGTTATTTTGTTACTAGGTAGTTACACTTTGGTTAGCTTATTATCAAGGATTAATGGGCTATATAAACCTCCTATTGTAATGGCTAAAAAGAGATCCATTTGTAATTCATTTTCTAAGGTTGATAAAGAAACTTAATACTCCCTCATTTACTTGTTATCACCGTTTGTCTTTCACTTTTGTATTAAGTATTGCCATTTAGCAATGTCCGTCCATTGTGCCGGAATCTCAAGATTTCATCATTTCTTTATTACTCAAATACAAACTTCTTATTTAATCATGAAAACCAATTAAAATTAGGTTGGAACATAAACTTCAATTGTGATAATTAATTTTATTCAAAACTTCCTTTGAAGCATTTTCAAATCAGCTTCATTCAAAATATTTCTTTTGCATGTCAAAATGTATATGTCAAGTTTCATAGCAAAATAACTTTCAAAGTAAAAGTTGATGTATTTGAGTACTAAATCAAAACATGACATAAATATAATTTTAATGCTAAAAAATTTACTTTACAAAATAGTTATTTAATTTTAATGTTGCTCTCAAAAAGTCTGGTAAGGTTTCAGAGTTCGGTTTTAAATCCAACGAGAAGTGGGTGTGAAACATAGAGGTTCAAAGAATTCTCTTCGATTGGGAACTGAACATCTGGGATGAGTTTATGTGTACGATCAACAGGGCTGTTCAAGGGTGTGGGGATAGCGATAGGTTGTGGAGGAATGGTTCCCCAAACGGTTTATACCTCCGGGATTGTACTGTTCAAATGCAATATATGCAGGAGGTGCTAAAGAAAAGCTTTGGAGCATAATCTGGGCAAATTTAGCTCCGGTTAAGGTGCAAGCGTTCGTGTGGAGATCAGCCTTGGGCAGGATTCCTTGTGGAGTTAGCTAAAATAGGTGTTTCGAGCGTTGAATCCACCCGCTGTGTGTTGTGTCTTGCTGAGGACGAGACTGCTGATCACCTTTTCTGTCATTGCAAGGTAGTATGGTATATTTGGCTTAGGTGGTGCTCGTACTGGAATATTAATTTGATTTGCCCCGGCGCTGTGAGCTCGTTTATCTTAACTTGGGATGCCCAACCTATATCTAGAAACCATAAGCCTCTATGGAATATGGCATTATTCGGGTTCTTCTGGTCAATTTGGTTGTGCAGGAATGATGTGATCTTCAGCGGAAAGAGGTAGACGGTGGACCGCATCTTCGAGACTGCTGTGGTAAGAATTAGTTTTTGGAGTAAATGTAAATGACCGGACTGTGGTATTGTGCTAGTGGATTTCCTTAATTTCCCAAGAAGTGAAATCCTAACCTGCCAAAGGCGCAGCAGGGGTTAGGGGGTGTGAGTTAAGTGCTGGTATTTGGTTTTGGGGGGGCTGTGGGGTAGAGGTTGATTGTCGGTCTATGTGAAGTTGCTGGCTTTCTGGCTCCTGTTCGTGTAGGGGGTTTTGTGGTAGCTACTGCAGAGGGTTTGTTCATGTCTTCTATTTTTCGAGGGTCTTGTGCTGGGAGGTTTTGCCTATAAGGGTTGAGAGTGCAGAGGAGTCTGTTACTGAATATCAGTCTGTTATTTCCATGGAGTTCTGTCCTTGGTTTTCCTTTTTCATTCTGTTTTGGTTGCTAGTGGTTAGGTTGAGTCTCTTTGTGTTTGAGTTTGTTCTGTCGGTTGGGAGGTGTCTGTTTTTTACCGGTGCTGGTTGTGTGGGGTTATCTGATGGGTAAGTTTGCCTTGTCGCAATGGCTTCTTCTGCTGCAGTGGGGAGTGGCTTTTCATGCTTTGTACTCGAGCTGCTGCCGTGATGCTGAGTTGGGGAACCAAGGTGCGATGTAGAGTAGCATCTGCCGGCTGTGGGCAAATCTGTTGCGCTGCTGCTGCTGTGTGGCCCGCAAGGTGTTTTTGTAGGATATCTGCTCATGTGTTGTAAGATGGTGGCTGTGCTGTCGAATGGTTGTAAGGATTGACTTGGAAGGTAAACTCTTTTTCCTCCGCTCCAAGTTTAATCATGCAAAACCCTTTTCAAAAAAAAGAATCTACGCATATATCATTGCTTGAAAAGTAAAAAAATATATACATGTTTTAACTACGTTGGCTTACAAAGATTTGATATGATCCAAAATGAGTTGTAATCAACTATATGAATCTATGTATAAAAAACATTGCATGTTAAGCTTTGAGCTTACTGACACTAACAATAAAAAATAAAACAATATATAAAATCACGCATTATCTAATCATGTACGGTAATCCACAATCTCACATCATCAATGTTCATATCAATTCTATCACGATGCATATTATATTTTCATTAATTCATTCTAGTTGATCTTCGTAGATGAGGTATACATGTAAATAGTATAACTCTAAAGGGTAATCAGTATAACCCGAAAAATGAATTATATAATGCATTATCCCTATAACTAGCAAATTATATCTAATATGATCTATTGATTTATGATGTCACATTTATCAAATAAATTATTAATCACATTATTAAGTATACTTGACTATCATATAGTCATCTCAAATTGTATAGTAAATTATAACTCATCAAATTCATACTTTATGAATTGACCTTATCATGACAACATACATATATACATAATCATAGCATAATAACTAGCCACAAGCCCTAATGAACATTTATTTAATAAGTACTCAAAATCATACTCAACTATAATTCAAATTATAAAATTCACCACAACCGGAAGCGCTTTCACCATTTCACTCTATCAACATGTTTTTGCCTTTAACCTTCGAAGAACTCTCTTGGATTTCTTCTTTGGTAACTTCAAATAATAAATATGTAACATATGTTACTAGAAATTCATATAGAAAATTCTAAATGTTTAAATTAACAAATGTCATGCTTGAATAACATGGAAGTCTCGTATTCCTTTAGGAACATCAAAATCTTAACTCATCTTAATCCTTCGTATTATTTTCATAATCGCCAAATCAATTTAAAATATTATAGAAATTAAATTGAAAGAATAGTGATCATTTTATAACTAAATCAAAAGTTTAATCGTAATTTTATAAATTTTAAAAATATAATAGCCAAACAAATTATTTCAACATAATTTATTGACTATTTGTGTAATTTAGCCAATCTTAAATGGCGTAGAAGTATCGACATAGTGGCGTTAAAGTTACCTCAAAGCCATTCATTGATCTGTTATATTTATAAATACATATAAAGGACAGGTGAAACAAGATTCCGCTCCTCTCTCCACAGAACCAGTAGCGGCAACGGCGGCGTAAAGGGAACCGCCTCTTTCCTACTCAAAAGCAATCTCATTCCGAAGACCAGCTTCATTTCTCTCCCTCCCGCGAAAACCTTTTTTTTTTCTCGAAAGATTTCAAATCGTCGCTAACATATCCAGGTACGCTAGCTTCAGGTTTCCCTTTTGATTGTCCCGCGTTCATTTCATTTGATTATCGATTTCGTACTCTCAATTTCGATTTTATTGTTTGCAAAGATGTTGCGTTGGCCTTTTAAATATATGCTTTCTCTGTCCCCTTTCTAAATATATATAATGCGATTCGATTAGCTTTCCACGCTTTTCCCTCCTTTAATTTTGTCTGGTTAGGAATTAATTAGCCTTACATGTATTTTTTTGGCATTAAGGAGAAAATGGTGATGCTTAATTCGTGTTATATATGTAAATAATGAATGCTAGTGAGTAATGATTATTAGAGGAGGGTCATAAACAAGATATCTTTTTCAAAAAATTTAGAGTTTTACTTTAGGTTTTTAATGCATAATAATGAGAAATGGTTAACTTGTTGCAGATGGTGCATTATGTACTCTACATTGATTATCGATCTTTCTGTTACTTAAACATATACAGTTTCAGTTTTTAGATATCAAGAATCTTACCATTGGAAAGAATAGCATGAATTCAATTCTTTTATCAGTTAACATGCCTTTTAATATTTTTAGATGTTTATTGGTTTCTGATTTTTCAGAATTGAATTCAATTCTTTATTGCCTTTTAAGTGAGTAATTTTTAGTATGTTAGCCTTTGTTAGTTTGGACTAGGGTGTGAGAGCCAAATACGTGTATGTTTGATTATTTTATAAAGTTTTTCCATGTATTTGGAGGGTCATATCCCTTTTCTGAGGAATTATGTCTGTATATGTATCAAAGGTATTAGATGCCAGAGATAGGTGCTTCAAAAGAAATGAAGAGTTAACGCATTGTGGATGTTAAGTGTCTTCTAAGAATATCCACCCATTCCTGATTCTGCCAATAAACTCTCCTTCCCTTGAGACATATCTACTTGTCTTAGGCTTTATCCTTATTGTACCCAAAACAAAACATAATTAATTTTTATTTTATGCTTTTAAGCCGGTAATTTCCCATTTGTAATGCATGAAAATTTTAATAGGCTCTTCCATCAGAAATATCAAACATTGAATTCTTTTTATCTTGTTGAAAGTGCTAGGCATATGTTAATATTGTATGTGCTTTATAAAATCGTGTATTATTACAACTAAGTGAACTCTTTGTATCTCTCCCCTGCTTTAGGTTTAGATTGCGAATGGCTAAAGTTAGCAAAGTCCAAAAGTCTGGTTCTCTTCATAAAAGAGTGAATTCTTATCTATTGCCCTCTTATCCTAAGAAGGCCGGCAAAGGTTCTCTAAAGGAAAAATGTTTGAAAACTTCGGGGAAGAAAGATTGGGAAGCTGCAAAATGTTTGGTTTGTTTGGAGTTCCCGCACAATGCTGTTCTCCTCCTTTGCTCGTCTTACGATAAGGGTTGCCGCCCTTACATGTGTGCGACTAGCAAGCGCTTTTCCAATTGTCTGAAGCAATACAAGAAAGCCTACACTAAAGTTGCTTCAGTTGACTCGATGGATAATTCAAGTATTATTTCTGGTGTGAGGAAGCCCATTGAAAATATTGAAGTTCCAGAGCTTCTATGCCCGCTCTGCCGGGGACAGGTTAAGGGCTGGACAGTGGTAGAACCTGTACGGAAATATCTCAACCGGAAAAAAAGGGCATGTATGCAGGACAAGTGCTCATTTGTTGGAACTTACAAAGAGCTTAAGAAACATGTCAGGGAAATGCACCCGCTAGCACGACCTCGAGAAGTGGATCCTGTGCTTGAAGAACAATGGAAAAAGCTGGAAAACGAGAGAGAGCAGAATGATGTGATCAGTACAATTATGTCGTCAATGCCAGGAGCAATGGTGTTGGGGGATTATGTGATTGATCCGGGTTATCATGGTATCTACAGAGATGAATATGATTCAGATGATTCTTTTGATGATTTTATTCATCTAGATTCATCCGTTCGCTTACGGGGTAGATTCATGGACTGTGACCTATTTGATGATGATGGCTTTGGGATGCGACATGCTTTCCGTGCTGTTTCCCCAGTAACCCGCACTTGGCCTACTCGCTTGTTGGGAACAGCGGGACTAAGACGAGGACGTAATAGAAGACGATAATTTCTGTGTCTGCCAATCACATGATGGAATTTATACTTTCGTATCAGGTAAAATGAACAGATCGTAGGAGAGTCCAACATCGGTATCATATGTTAGTTGTGGAGGCAAACTGAAGGTATTTTAGCTTTAAATTCCCTCCGTCATACGTAGCTGGTACCATTTCTTCCTTAAGCTGTCATTTGACGGCAGCAGACATTAGAACATTCTTTCTGAATTCTTTGCTTTAGACACTGGCTGGCAACATTTGCTCATACTGTAATTGGTGTCCCCTCTATTCTCCATGTTATGGGATAGAGAGGATAATCATTTGATACACTTCAGGTTTGACGTTCAGCTTGATTTTGATGGAACCTCTCTTTTAAACCTTGACCTTCATTCCAGATAATGATCGAAACACTCCAAGTCGTTCGATTAGGCTTGTTTACTCGATAAGAAATGAACTCATTTTTATGTTCAATTTTTTACTCCGACTATTTGTGCTTCAGCCTAAATTTGAGTTTGAATTGAAATTACAATACTAACTAGAAATAAAAACATCAATTAAATAGGCTCTTTTCGACCCAGATTTATAAAATAAAATCGGTGACTATAATTTGCAAAATTGTGCTGATGTTTATATAATTGAATATAAATAAATAAACCCTTTTCATCAAATTGTAATCTGGGGCAACTAAGGTGATTATAATTTGTAAAATTGTGTCCTACCGGGTTAGACCCTTGAACAAACCTAGTAGTAGGCGACATTTGGGATCATGGTGAAAGCAAATGAGACCAAAATCGTCAAAATGGTATGTTGGACCCCAATTTTAAGTGACAGTTGCAAGCAACGATGGTATGTTTGGTTTCAATATTTTGCCCCGAAAATCAATAAATTTCATTTAAGACACCCCCCACACAAAATGTTCACATCTTGTAGTCCACCTCATTTGCTTTCATGAATTACAAGCCATCCAAAGAAAAAACAGAACCAATCCCTTTCAATTTTCTGTTTTCCCATTGTTGCTTACTGTTTGTCTCTTAATGGATACCAACGCCATTCAACTGAACTCAGGTTGTAGTTTGATAATGTATCACGAGAAGTATATATATTAATAATAGAATTGACTTTGATACGAGTGGATGGAAATATGATTACCGTGACATTTTTATTTTTTTCAATGATGACATATTTTTTGAAATATTTTCAATGATGATGTTGCATTACCTTATTGGTGACAATCAGCTTCACCGTTAATTTGTTAATGGCGAGTGACCAAATAAAACCAAAAATTAAACATTACGTATGATTTTGGAGAAAAAAAATAGGTGACCAAAGAAAAATAAAAATGATTGTTGGAATACTAAACACTCAATTTACCTGGTTTTTAATATTAGCCTTAGATTTATACAATTCAAGTTCATTTTGCGGTGAACCATCCGAAAAGTTAGAAAGATATAAATGAGAAAGAGATTAAGAATCAGTGAAGATAGAAAATAAAAAAGAAAAAGAAGGGTGTTGTAGAGAAAGAAGAAACAAGATGGGAAATTTAGATTCTAGTTTCAATATTTAACGAGTTATTTTAAATTAGTATCTAATTGATTTTTTTCTTTTTGAAATATTGTTTTTTGTCTGGATTACATTTGATCATCATATTATTATCAAAACAAAATTAAAATGTAAACTTAAGTATGATTTTAAAACAAAAAATAATTAAATAATCAAAATAAAATAAAAATAAAATTTTAAATAATAAACGTATAGTTTACCTATCTTTTATTTATCGGACGACCAAAGAAATGTTTTTTATGGAACCCTAAATTCCATTTTTTATAGCCAATTTTTTTATTAATGTTGGAGGAAGGGAAGCATAGAAATGGTGACCATGTCAGCAAAGCAAAGCATCGTTTTAAAAATTAATTAATTAATTTTTGTGTACTTTTTTGAACGAACTCGCATGTCATGCATTTTATCCTTTAATAAACAATATTATCAACCATTAATCAAGTGATGAACTTAGGTCAATAGGTACTTCTCCTAACCTCTCCTTTCTTAGGTTCGATTTCCCTTTTCACATTTTAACTCTCAAGATTTCCCTTCAATCATTAAATTAATTTTTTTAATATGTACATCTAATTCAAGAATTGAATTTATTTATCTAAACTAAAATTAAGAATAAATTGATATGATATATAAATAAATAGAATCAGATATATAATTATATAAATATATTTAATTGTCTGGTTAGACGGCTAGTGATTTGATTGAAATAATTTTAATAATTTAGTGATTTAATTGATAAAATTAATAGTTTAGTAGTCAAAATATAAGCATTACAATAGTTCAGTGACTATATAGAAAGTTTACCCTGTTTTCTGTGTTAGCTTAACTCTAATCTGTCTGAAAATCCAAACCCTTTACGGCTTTCGAAAGATGGAACCATCGGCGTGAGTTGGCAAAGCAGTGGGATCCGGAGAAGTCTCCGCGCTTAAAGAATGATATTATCAGTTTTGTTATTATTTTTTTAATATTTTCAGTAAAAAAATTATCTAAAATATTATTATTTCTTTCGATTTTGTTATTATTAAACGTTTTATCAGTTTTGTTAACATATTCGATAAAATACTATTTAAAATATTATTTTTTTTCTACCAATTTTGTTATTATTAGATACTTTACAAGAAATATTAAAAAAATATTAATATTTTATATAAAAATATTAATAATTTAGATAATTTTTTTATCGAAAATATTAAAAAATAATAACTAAATATTTCCTTAATGGTATATTAAAGTTTTGAAACTTAACGTGGAATCCACATGAATCAGAATGATCAATTTTTACGACGTCGCTTTCTGGAAGTACGACGTGCAAGCCATGTCGCGTACTTTAACGCCACGTGTGACGGGAGACCTTGAGAAAGCAATTCAAACTTCTAAAGCAATTGAGTGTAACCAAGCAATTCAAACTTATAAACCGTTAACTAATTAAGTACTTAGGTTCCGCTAATTAATTATTTGAATATTACAAAAAATAGTGAAACTCTTAACATGAGTTGTAAATGAGTCGAGGGTTAACAAACCCATTGCTGTTTATCTTTAATTTATTTTGTACTTTCACTATTCTTTATTAAGTTATGAAATTATGTTTATTTTAAAATAATATACAATTATATCCATTCATTTACTATTCTTAAATATGTTCACGAACATTAACGTGAATATAGGGATGAATCAAGGACGGTGACTAATGACAATCGTCATCTAAAAAAAATTTAAATTAACATACATTTTAGATTTTAGATTTTTTTATGTATTTTCTATTGATAATATATTTTCGTCCTCTATAATTTTATAAGTTCACTTCTTAAAATTTTAAAAGTTCGTCCTCAATATAAGATGTTGTGTTCCTGCATGCATAAAAACATAATTAAATATATTTGTAAACAATTTAAAAAAGGTTCATGAATAATAAACAAACAAATTGTATAAAAAACATATTTTTTTACTTTTTTAGACATCAAATAATGGAATATACATTAATAATTATTTTACGAATAAAACACACATACATATTTTTAATTATCATTTGTAATAAAGATATAAACTTTAAATAAACAAACTAATAAATGAGTTAACAAACGAATTCGTTTGTTAACATAAACTATTTATACATACTTATGTTCAATTTTATTAATTTAAGAAAAAATAATACTTATTTATTTACTCTGATTGACGAATAATATAAAATCCCAAATAATTATAAAATCAGATCTTCGATTTTACAATTAAAATAATGATGAATGAATAGTAGAGATGGTCATAACATTAAACTGGCATCGTGTTGATCATAATCACAATGGAGTTTATTGAAACTTTCAGTTTCCATACTTTTTACAGAAATCAGAAACGTGAAAGCCTCATTTGATTTCGATGTGCATAAAAGTCAACTAATCTCTACGACTCCAGACCATCATTAGTGGCGAAATTTGAAAACTAAAAATGGAAGAAAACAAATGGAGAGGAAACCGGAAGCAAGTTTACTTCACGTTAGCTGATTAATTCAGATACAAAAATATTTATATTTAGAAAAATATAGTAAGAAATTTTAATTTTGAGCTGACAATATAAATGTAATAATTCTATTGTTTGACTTGATCTTTTTATAGCTTAAGTTTAATTAATTACACGTTCATTTCAATTTTATTTTGGCTAAGATTTATATGGTAAGTCAATAGTTTATTTTATATAGATTTTAAGGTAAATTATTTGAATAATTATAGTTTAGTGGTCAAACTAAAATTAATTTATAATTTAATGAAAACTCAAATAGTTAATATGTTTGCTTATTTATATCATATACCTCACTTATCCATATAAATACGAAGAATTTAAAATTTTTCAAATTTAACCTATACTTTTTACGAATGTTGGTATTTTTTTTTTTTAATCTTTGTGACATCAATTTATTTGTATATATGTTTTGCTTTTGTAATTCGTGAATTGTTAAGTATCATGAGATAAATACTCACTTATCCATTTAAATACGAAGAGAATTACATTAATCTCAGGACATGTTTATATTTAATATGTTTGTATTATTTGTTTCATGTTATATATGTGGAGTAGTGAGTGTTACTATTTTCTTAAATCTCAGGCTTTAAATTATTTATTCTTGTATATTGTGATTATGTTCGAGTCAGAATACTAACATCCTTACAAGGGAGTTTAAATTGATATCTTTCTTTAGTATAATACTTGTTTAGTTTATATTAGACATGTATTATTCTTAAGATGCTTAGTGATTTATATTTTTAAATTCACTTGATTTATTTTCAGTATTTTATATATAACTGTTTATGTATCTTCACATTTGTGAACCCTCTTTATATTATACACTTGCACGTTAATTCAGTTTTAATTATTCTTAAATTACTTAATTTAAGTGATGTTTTTGAAGTAATTTTTGTGATTTATTTTGGCCATTCGAATGTGACATTCTCAAATTCATCGATTATTTTGGGTTGAATTTGGGATGTTATAAAACTAATTACACTGATCAATTAGTTCTCTTACGATCATTAAAAAGCAAAAACTGACAACTAAATAATGAAAATAGTGGCATATAAAAATATATATAAAAAGAGAAACTCAATTTAATAACTCTAAAAAAATAAAAGTAAAAGATACTTATAAACATTATTCTCAACGCTAAATAATAAGCATCATCAACTAATATAATAATAAAA